GTTCCGTACAATTTATCACTTACGGAACGTCTGAGAGTGTTTTACCAACATGATGATGCCCCTCCCCACAATAGAGAATTCGTGAACGATTTTCTAACGAGACTGTTCGAGGGTCCCCGAATAACAAATAATTAACCGTTCCTATAGCCACCTCGTTCGCCAGATTTATCGATATTACAGTACTTCTTCAACAACGTACACCATATGAAACGAGTGCGAAATGCCTTCCGTAATTTTAAGCCTAAACACAAGAAAATTTTATTTTGAAGTGCATTAAATGTCTTCAGTTCGAAGGACGTGATTTTGAACATTTTCTCAAACAGTTTTGTTTCATTGTGTTTATTCAGATAAAACATGAATTCAACCGTATAATATACCTAATCAATTTTTTTTCTTTATGTTGAGCAATTCAAAACCTTCATGATTAATTGCACAGCAAACCATGTTTGCCGTGAAATGAAAAGTTATGAAATTTGATTTGTTGCTGATGACCACGTTCGACTTCAGATTTTGTTTGTGTGAATACTGAGCGACATGTTCATCACAGATGTTTGCCAAAACTTCATTCCATTGTCCAAAAAAATTAAAATATTGAATCAATCTACAAGCGTATAAATCAAAATAGACAGGTCTGAATATTCATTGAAAATTCCAAAGCTCACACAGATTTTTCCACAGTCAACTTAAATTTGATATTCGACAAATGCTATTTTTTAATAAATGTCAAGAAGTTCGGAAATTATGCAAGATAGGTAGAAAGTGTGAGATATGTTACAATATACCATAATTTTTTTATATTTAACCTATTCATACTTCTGCATTATCTATGGACGCAATACCCAGAGAGTCACCGTGTTTATTTTTTATTTTGTGTTTATTTAGCATTAACGACAGAGGGTTATTAGTTATATGTCATTTACAGATTGTTACAATGTCATTTAAATTTTATTGAGTTAACACACACACACACACGCATACATTAATAGAAGTATGAACGACAATCATTTTAATATCACATATTATTACAAACACATTAGTACTTGTCACAAAGCACACTTGTTCTACTAAGAGTGGATAACTGCATGAGAAATGTATGACCTGAATGTATGTGAGATGAGACGGTTTGTGTAATTGTAATAATTAGCTCACGATAACTTAGATAAGTTTGAGTTATCACTTCTGTTGGGCGTCCTGAGACGCACACGTTTTTTTTCTGGTAGGTACGGAGTGGAGGATGATTCCACATACGTTTGAAATGATGAGTCTTTCATTTAGTGAGTCTAGTTTTCGCGCTTGTAGTGTCATGTTGTCAATGATAATTATTCCTTTGTGGGTATAGGTAGGTATTTAAAGGTGTTGACAGTCTTCGCTTAATGAGTAAATGCATATATTCGGTTGTTAGATATTCTTGGGGATTTTTTTTGCCGTATGATCAGATAGTCTTGAAGTTTAGTATTTTCAATAGAATTGAATAAGACGACTTGATTTATTTTTATTTGGGAATATGGTTAATGATGTAACTGAAGAGTGCGATTCAGGTAGTTGGTTGAAAGAGTTCTGAGAACTCATGTAATCATTAGTCGGATATAATCCAACGCCGTTCGCAGTATTAGCCAGTGCAGTAGTTGTTTTCTGATAGGTGTCAGTCCATTCAACCTACTGTGTAGGTATATCCGAGACGGGCTTGAACATTTAAAGTTCATTTATTTAGCTTTGTTCACTGCCCGTCTTCAAGCATAGCCCACTGACTAATAAGAAAGTTTTGTCCTTATTCAGAGGAATCGGGCAAATTTCGGATATGCAGTTGGTTAGTACCTCGTCCACTAGATGGAGTGACATTTTTTATCTTCGCTCCAACTTAACCCTTCATTGCATTCTGTTGCAGAAATGCAATATACCGTTCAATCAGTTGTAAGTTTCTATTCCAATAAGCAGAAGTATTCGTGTTGCAGACATATCTGCAACAATGTCTGGTACGGAATTTCGTACCGCAAAAAGCCCCTGAACGGCCCTGGTTTTAGTTTGAAATGTGTTTCTGTTGAGAGTGTGAGGTTAAAATTTCACTACCTGTTTATGGTGATATTTGATTTGTCTCCTAGCGCACAAGAATACGAATAAATTACCAAACCATCAGATAAGACACATTTTATGACATCCATAAATCGCAGGCTGTTTTTTTTACATAATTTTTTTTGTTATGTTATAAATATAGTTTGTTGCATATGTGTAACAACATGCGGTAAGTTCATATGGAATGTGTTTTCAGCATGACTGCTAAGAAATACCTCTCAGATAAGGATTTGGAAGAAATAATACAGAATCTGAGTGAAAGTAAAGACGGCTATGATTTTTCTGATGATAGCATCGCAGATCCGAATTTTCTGCCGAGCAATCAGGATTTGGAGAATTTTGTTTCAAATTTTGAAGATCAAGAAGGTGAAAACGAATTGGACTTGAATGATACAGCCGATGAAGAAGGAACCCTTGATGAAACCAGCAAGAAACTAATGTTGTGGAAACGACAGTATCAGTTCCTTCCACATCAGAAATCTCATCGAATGGAAAGAAATGAAACTCAATGAAATTTCTTGGGAATTCGAGTCTTCCAGCTACTATCATGGAATTGAATACTCCTTATCAATTCTTCACTTCCTTTATCAACCGATGATATAGTCAGTAATATTGTAGAACAGTCAAATCTATATGCAATACAGAAGGATCCCAGTAGACCTGTCAATATAATCAGTACAGAGGTGAGACAATATATTGGAATTTGCTTCTACATCTCATTGTTTCATAATACGAACACCCGATCCAATTGGTCTGAGATCTTGAAATTTGATGCAATAAAAAAAAACAATGTCGGTGAATCGTTTCGAAAAGATAAAACAATTCCTTCATTTCAACAATAATGAAGCAAACAAGCCACATTCTGACAGACTGCATAAAATAAGACCTCTTTATGATGCACTGAACACAAACTTCTCAAAAGTTCCAATGCAGCAGTACCTATCCCTTGATGAGCAAATTTGTTCTACAAAAGCAAGACATTTTCTGAAGCAATATTTACCACTCAAACCTCATAAGTGGGGGTTCAAACTCTTCGTTCTATCCTCCGTATCAGGATTTGCTCATAGAGTTGAAATTTATGCAGGACAAGAAAATGGCAATTACTCAACTGAAGTTCCTGATTTGGGTGCTAGCAGCAATGTCGTGGTTCGTTTGGCACAAATGATTCCAGACAATCTGAATCACAGAATTTACTTCGATAATCATTATACCTCGATTCCGTTGATATCATACTTAGCTGGAAGAGTAATACTGAGCCTGGGTACTGTACGGAGAAATGGGATATCAAACTGTAAGTTGCCAGATGAGAAAGCTATGATAAAAGCAGATAGAGGTGCTACATATGAATATGTTGCCTCATAAAATGGCATAGAAATTTCGAATGTTTCCTGGACAGACAATAAAACTGTAACACTCCTATCGAATTTTGCTGGAGAAAACCCTCTGAGTAAAGTTCAGCGTTTTGATAGAAAGAGAAAGGAAAGAATTGAAGTGGATTGCCCATACATTGTGAAGGAATACAACCGGCACATGGGTGGTGTAACACTTGTTGGACAGTCATTTGGCACGGCACAAAATATTACTACGCAGTAAAAAGTGTTGTTTCAGACTGTTCTATCATCTGTTGGATTTGGCAGTGGTCAATTCTTGGGTACTTCATAAGCAGGCTTTGGTTCAGCGTTCAAGTACTGACAAATTGCCAACTTTGTCTGAGTCCAAAACAGAAATAGCAGAATGTATGTGTAGAATTGGTGCACAGCGGGAAAGAGAAAAAAGAGGTAGACCGTCCTTATCCATTGAAACAGACATTCAAAAGAAAAAAATGAGGGGTCCCGCCCAACATGTACCTCCCAAAGACGTGAGACAAGATTCAATTGGACATTGGCCCATTTAGACAGAGAAGAGAGTAAGATGTAAAGTTCCAAACTGTACAGGAATTTCACAAATAACTTGTTCCAAATGTGGCGTTGGACTTTGTTACAACAAAAAAAAATTGTTTTCTTCAGTTTCATACCACCTAAATATTGATAGCGTACACATGGTGTTGCATTTCTACAACACATAAAAAATGTATTGAAATGAAATGAATTTTTTCTAATATTTTTCCATTCATTCTCATGCAAAAACAATCCTTATGAGCGATGAACAAGACGAATATAAAAAATCATGCAATGAAGGGTTAAGACATGGAATAAAATACTCTGAAAGAATTTCGATTTTCAATTATGGAATATCATTAACTTTAGGTCGATGATGGTCACTATCTTGCACTGACGAGTGGCTTAGGAGCTCGAAACCGTGTGTGCCCGTTCCAAAATTGAAGGTGGACTCTTTCAGTTGTATTGCCAACTGCATATGCAGAAAATTTTCTGTGAAAATTCCTGCACTGGCGCCTGTCGGATATAATCCAACGCCGTTCGTGGTATTAGCCAAGGGAGTAGTTGTTTTCTGATAGGCGTCAGCCCATTCAACCTACTGTGTAGGTATATCCGAGACGGGCTTGAATATTTGAAGTTCATTTCTTTAGATTGGTTTACCGCCCGTCTTCAAGCATAGCCCACTGACGAATAAGACACATACGTTTCTGCTCGTTCTCTGAGATTTTTTCAGCGCTACTGTTGATATCGTATCGTTGTTGACAATATGTTGGTCAGAAGATGAATATAATATTGAGAATGCTATCTGATTACTGCTTAGTTTGTACTGAACTATATAGCACTTGAAATATACTTTGAAGTTGTTGATGTGGATTGTTTAACTGACTCAAATATACAATTTTCGTTCATGATTATGACCACCACTTTCTATTCGTATCGGGGCCGATCTCATTGTTATATTTTGTATTTAGTGAATAAAGTTTAGTATGTGAGAATCAATAATTCAGGGATTCAACAATTATCAATTAACTAAAATTATTTTTCTGATATCAGACTGGTGTGAATACTGATAGTGGGTTGAAAGCTAAAGAAGCTCATTTCGAAGGAATCAAAAAGTGAGTATTCTCTTCAGATTGATTCGAAAGCTCAACATGTTTATTACATGAAGTAAATAAATAATGTCCATTTCACAAAGAATCGAAGTGTTAATTGTGGTTGGATATGGAGATGCAACCATAGCATAACAAGAAGGATGTAATTTATTTATTGAAAAATACCCTGATACACATATCACGCAATCAACTGTTAGTAAAATTAAGAACACGACCCCTATTCTCATTTGGAATAATATTGATTACGTCAGCACGTCCAAATGGATAACGTCACTAGTATGACATTTGCCAAAAAATCATAATTTTTTTCCTCCAAAGTCGATTATTTTCGAAAAAATTAATCATTTCATAATTTGACACACACACAGAAAACCGTTCAGATCCAATATTGTTAAATCCCAGCATTCGTTAGTCAATGTCCCTTTCACTGCTTCCAGTAATCGATCCTCAGGTAACACAGGTTCCTCTCTTCAGGCCTGGAATCCGATTATCAATCTGCCTCTACGTCCAGTAATACTCACTACTTTTCATCACCCTCAAATTCGACTGATCTTTCAGCGACAGCTCTCATTGAAAAATACTGGATGCCTATGGGTCATATCAAAAGGTTAGGGCTCAACTCGACTGTGATTCTCAAATGAGTATTCTCAGTCAAATATGTTTGAAACGTCTTGGATTGACAGCCTCAGCTCTAGCCCTATCGATTCAAAGTGTTAGTCAAATGACATCATCTGCCTTCAAAGGACCTCGTCTTCAAATTTGACCATGTAACGTTCCCAAACCCATTATCTCAGTGAAGGTCATTTTCTAAGGTTTGTAACCCCATGCCTAATAATTGTTCCATAGATATCAAATCTTTTGTAATCATATTCCAAATTTGAAGCTCGATGACCCTTTGTTCAAATCCCTCATTCTTATTGGAGCCGATTACATTGCACCAGTAAACCTCATTTATATTCCTGATTCAGAAGGTTTTCGGAAATTGAAAAGGTTCCTGTGTCAACCCTGAAGATGATGCCTGCGATAATGCCTCCCATTTATCTAGTGATTAGGACAACCCTGCAATTGGTTGAAGAAGACAGCGAAGTTTCAGCTAGCTGCTGATACAGTCAAAAATTATTCAAACGTTGATGATATTGTAACTAGTTGCTCTTCCTTAGAAAAGGCGCAGATGCTTAAGGCTCTGCTCATTTATTTATTATGGCTTGGTGGATTTGAACTCCATAAGGGGAACAGTTCTTCTCACTGACAATTGCCCTTCCTCCAAATCTCTTGATTTGGATAATATTTTCAGAGTTGATGTTTTGGGATTGCAATGGAACTCGGCTCAAGATACATTTGTTTTTCAGCATCAAGTGTTACAACTGTAAAAATGGAAACATCCTTTCAGATTTAGCCCGTATCTTCGACCCTCTAGAATTTTTAACTCATCTCACTTTGTTTGCAAAATGTCTCATCCAGCATTTTTGAACCGTCGGACTCAGTTGGGATCATGAACCTCCTCGTAATCTTATTTCTACTTGGAACAGATTCGAATCTGAACTCCCAATGTTGTCCAATCTTCTGGTTCGTCGTTACTTATTTCACCCTGAAATGACGAACTGCATTCTTCGTGGGTTCTCGAATGCCAGTAACAAAGATTGTTCTGCCGTTACCTAATGTCGATTTGATGCGGAAACAACACCCCGTATATCACTACTTTGTGCCAAATCTCGTGTTTCGCCTCTTAAAACTATATCTCTCCCCCGGCTTGACCTTTGTGGTGCCACCCTATTTGCAGAGCTCTTTCTATTCGTTTTGGAAATTTTTGGAAGTAAAATAAAATGTGAAAACATATTTGCCTGGTCAGATTCATCTACTACTCTCACTTGGATTCTTTCTTCGTCATACAAATGGAAAACGTTTGTTAGTAATCACGTGAGCAAAGTTCAGAAAATTGTATCTTCAGAAGTTTAGCGATATATAGCATCCATAATCGATCTAGCAGATTGCGCGTCAACAGAAATTTTTCCATTTGAACTTCTCCACAATTCACTATGGTGGGCGGGCCCTACTTGGTTATTGGAACCTTCGTCGTCTAGACTTCCTGACACAAGGTTCATTTCCATGACGTTTCGGTAAAGTCTCATCTGCCATCTGGTGATATCGGAACTTTGGACCTAGACAAATTTTCAACCTCCCTATGGCTGGGTTTTACTTTCATTTGACAACACTTTTTCACTTGTTTTTCTCAAAACTAATAAGGGTGTTGTCAATTAATTAATATTAAATTGGACATATTTGATTTTGCGTTTTTTTCGTTGATTTACTCAACCATAAGAGTTCTTTGTTTCATAGTTTTATCATAGACAAACAAACACACCTTCTCAAACTGAATCACATGACAGCTGTCATTGTCAATTGTTT